AAAAATCAAAATGAAAGAAACTGCTTTAAAAGCGCTCATTAATTTCGCATTGACGGATAACTTTTGTCTTTCATGTTCGAGTTGCATTATTTTAGCATATTTCATCAGAAGTCCTTGCGGTGTAAACACATTTTAATTCGATTGCCCTATTGTTTGAATATAGCTGCGTTTGCACAACAGACTTATACATGACCTAGAACCGACCATGCAACTAGAGTAAACGGATTAAGACTGAGCTAGGACTGACCTTGTAGGCCATTTCAGGACCAGCATTGCATTCGTAGTCCTAGTAATACTGTCCAAGATCAGTATGTGGAATAGGTTTTCAAGTGTAAACGTATTTTCTCTCTTAGGGGCTGCTCACATGAGCCAAGTAGCCGGGATTCAGCGAGGCGTTTAATCATTTTGGCAAATGGAAAAGATTGAATACTTCACATCAAAAAACTTACCGAGCAATTTCTAAATGCTCTGACTTTGCAAATTCACAAAACCTTTAATATGAAAACAAATAATTTAGCTTGATTTGAACATTACGACTAAAATGACTTATGACGCTTAAGAAATGATGTAAGTTTTGCGTTTACAGTTTTTACTCCTTTAAACCTCATCTTTCAATGACTCAAAATCATTTCACACCTCGCTGAATCCCGGTTACCGGGCTCATGTAAACAGCTCCCAGGCGAACCAAGTTATCTCGCCAAATGCTTATAATGGATCCTATACAAGAGCATTGAATATTTACCCGGCAAAAACTATGTAGGCATACTTTTTTTCAGGGAAATGTAAATAATTGACTCGATATGTTTCACAGCCTGTGGCTATTTATTCGCTAGGCATATAAATATGTTTTCCTTTTTCTTTGCAATTTGATTTTTATGTGAGTTTAAATAGCTAGATTTCTTGTGCGTCATACCGTTATTCAATGACCCAAACAACATAAAAGTTGAAGAGAGCGACTCTCGGAAGTGCTCTCGAATTTCTTCTGCTACTAAAAATGTTATTTTTCAAATTATAAGTTGTTCCTATTCGGAGGTTTTCGAACGTACGTTACTTTAACCTTTGCGACTCAAAATTTAATGAACATCCGCAACAATAAAAAACGTATCCTAAATGTTTGAACCATTTTCATTTATTTCAGACGTACACAATAATCGAATCTTTCCCCCGTCGAGTGTCTCAGTTGACTCCTATTTGTATTATGATTTGCCTGGATTCAACGCGGGTTCCTCGTACATCGATTTTACCTCACCATCTACTCAGACCTTTTATCGGTGTTCGAAACTCAGGATCTGGTACGGAGAAGATCTGATCAATAATGGCGAAGGCGACAATCATGGACACACTTGTATGCGAGTTTATATCCAAAAAACTAATTAATATTTTAAGTCAATGTAGTTTCTATTCATGGCAAAATATTAATAACTTTTTTGTTTTCTATGTTAATTTTTGCGAGTTCTTCAATAAAAGCAGTTTGTTCTTATATTGACTATGGGAAATAGTTTCCTTAATTCTTAGTAGTATTGAGTGATAATGCCAAACTTCAAACATCATTTTACAATATGTGTAAACCATTTGCTCCTTTTAACAGAAACATATCATTTCTGCAAACCAAAGTTGATGAATTGTCCACTTATTCTTTTTAAGTGGTAAATAAAGCAAATTTATGAAACATGGCTAGTCGCGCGCACTACCATCTTAAAGTTTACAAAAATAACAACACTCGCTCAACACTTTTGGCGTGAGTTTGCTATTAGTTTAAGGTAAGAGGCAGAACAAAATTTTGACAAATTGACGAGAAAAAAATGAAAAAATATCCGAATGCTGGCCAAAACCTGATCTGTGCATTCACAAATAATGTCTTCTGAGTACTATTCCCTCTTACGATTTAGGAATTTCTCAATTTATTGACAGTTGTGAGCTGTGCCGGAAGGACCACATGGCACATGCAGCATATGCCGCTGTCTCAAGCTTATGGAGAACTCGCGCTTTACTGCAGACTGTACCACACTCATTTTTACAAAAGCATGCCCATATTCGGCTGGGACACGTCTATTTTAGGCAGTTTCGCGTTTTCAGACTCATCTCACACATAGGGGCCTTACAAATATGGACTCCTAACCCATTAAGGACGCTAGGCTTGGCAGTTGACGCAGGAAAATATGCATAATCTCGTGCTTGTAGTATGATATCCTGAGCTGTTGCGCTGAGCAGTTATTTAATGCTGTTCAAAGTAATTTTTGCGGGTAGCCAAAAGCACATCCGACCGATTTCCACATCTTTGACCTCTATGTCCGAACTGGATGTACCATAAACAACGTAATTTTCAAAAATTGTTTCGCTTCCTCGTATAATTGTTTAAGCCCGACCTTTTGATAGCCATCACAAACATGAAGGATATTTTTCTTGGTCGAATAGTTCGTTAAACTTGAAGCAACACAATTGTATTTTGGCTATCTATAATCTATGCACAAACTGGTCACTGTTTTTTGATGATTAAAACATAAAGGATAAAGCGAATAAATATATTTTTATACGAGTTTTAAATGCAGTCTTAAATGTAGTCTCTTTGATGTAGATTAACTTGAAATCATAACAATAATAATCAACACTCATAATGCATGTGAAACAGAGGGCGACGCATTGTTTATCTAATTCTCTGCTCAATCTGCTCACAGTTCTCCGTGTCGCTGTATTAATTAAATTCATAAAGCAATTAAATCTGTTTTCCTTTCGAAACTTACATAAATGACGAAATTATTGATAAAATTTATGCATGGGTCATCAAAAGAACTTTCAAATAGGAATCAGGCAATTAATGTTTACATTTTAAGAATTTCCATTCCCAGATTATGCTCACAACTAATTAGTGATCTGTACACCCAAGTAGAGGGGGTAATCGTTGAGCATGAGCATTCATTTCGTTGCATGTTTTGGAGTATGTACAGCTTTATTGGCGTGCTGAGATTACCAAGGAACCGATACTAAACATGAGCACTTAGCAATATTTTCTAAGGAGAGATGCATATCTAATCTATACTATGGAATGAGCATTAACTGACGTTTTTGTCTTTATGAAGGACACATAAGCTTAAAAAATTTCACCAATAAGAGTCCATAAAGATTTACTGGAGAATCAGTCGCCATGTTTCGTTTTGTTGTCAGTCAGTTACATCAATTACAACCTAATTTATCGATTTAACTCTGTTAAATTGAACTCAAACTTAAAGAAATCGTTATGAAGCGTAAAAATATAATCATGAGAAAAGTTCTGTAATTCCATCCTTAAGAATTTTAGGTCGAGAGGAAACTTCAGTGACATGTGCCCTTGCAAAGATATATGTCATATTTTTGTGACTAGTTATGCAACTCAATGCTTTGTCGACGTAATTTAAGTTGGAGTTTTGCATTAAACATAAACGATTTGCAACTGTTTTCTTCATTACAAAAAAATATATTATTTAAAAAAGAAACTTCTCAACAGTCAAAATGTATCAATATTATCAATCAACTCTAAAGTCAAAATATCTTAGACTTGCTGCCTGACCTAAAATGCCTATTCCAGCAAAAAAGAATTTATTTGAAACTTTGAATTTAGGTGTGATTTCTATCGTATCGATAAAAGTTTTCAAATTGTCAAATGTTCCATTTTATGGCTGTTTAAACCTGGCAATAGTGCTCCTTTTAATTGACCTTGCTGTCCTCCCATAAGTCTGGAACGACAGAATTCGGCTAGACTTTATGCTTCCATGCGCGGGCAATATCTGTTGAAAGGAGCTGCCTTAAACCACTCGTGGCACTTTAAGCTTTCTGCATATAAAATTATTACTTTTTGCTAATGAGAACTTTCTATAAATGGAGGTTTTTTTAGTTTCTACAGGCTTCTCGTGATTTTCGTGAAATTTTTCCAAACTCTTACTAGTTTTAAATCCTTAAGACGTTCTCCAAACTGACAAACGCTATTCAATTTATACCAATAGATACACATAAAATGTGGATGAAAGTATTGCCTTCACTAACTTAGTCTTCTAATCTCTTCTTATCAAATTTAACATGAAAACATGTGAGCTATCTTGTTCCGGTCTGCTGACGCGTCAAAACAATAGTTTTGATAAATTGTCAAAACAATAAGCTTGTGTCTCATGGTTTGAAAAAACTTCACGGGCACCATGAATCGCCAAAGGACAAGCACAAGCTTGAATGACCTTTGCTAAGTTAGTGCATTACTGAAATATTCGTTGAATAAGTTTGTCAAGTTTATTTATATCATTAAGATAAATCGTGTCAGATATAATGCAAACGTATAAGTATTACTACAAGTATTACTCAAAAGTGCCATCCTTCTCTGTGCAACTTGTAATCATCAACTTCCTTATTGTCACATAAAAGCACTTTCTTTTGTCATGAGAGTTACATATGCTTACCTTTTTTTCTGTAGCTTGTAAACTTCAACTTCCTTTATGTCATGCATGACTATAAGGACTTCCTCTTGGTCATAAGATTTACAAATGCTCTGATTTTCCATGTAGTTTGTGAATTTGAACTTCCTCGATGTCATGCATATAGCTTATAGCTATATCCTCTTTCAATAGTGTTGATAAATTGTCAAAACAATAAGCTTGTGTCTCATGGTTTGAAAAAAATTCACGGGCACCATGAATCGCCAAAGGACAAGCACAAGCTTGAATGACCTTTGCTAAGTTAATGCATTACTGAAATATTCGTTGAATAAGTTTATCAAGTTTATTTATATCATTAAGATAAATCGTGTCAGATATAATGCAAACGTATAAGTATTACTACAAGTATTACTCAAAAGTGCCATCCTTCTCTGTGCAACTTGTAATCATCAACTTCCTTATTGTCACATAAAAGCACTTTCTTTTGTCATGAGAGCTACATATGCTCAGCTTTTTTCTGTAGTTTGTAAACTTGAACTTCCTTTATGTCATGCATGACTATAAGGATTTCTTATTGGTCATAAGATTTACAAATGCTCTGATTTTTCATGTAGTTTGTGAATTTGAACTTCCTCGATGTCAAGCATATAGCTTATAACTATATCCTCTTTCTCATGCGCATGACACAACATTTGCAATTTTTCTGACTATAAATAAGAGCAATTAAAGAACATTTTCAATCAAACGGATTCAAAGCAGGAAAAAGTATCTTTGAAAAATCTTAAGAAAAACAGTTACAAAACTGACATTGAAAGGTAAAATTTTAATCGAAATTTTTGAATTAAAACTAACGAATGAAGCTTTTAAATTGAATTGTGCTTAAAGATATCTTTGTGGAACAATGCAGAAGCATTTATGCAGAATGTATTTTAATGCATCTTCAAACGAAGTTTGGAGAATCCTAAATATTTTAATTTTAATTTAGTACTGAATGATTATGTGTTGAATTAACAATAGTAATTTGTAATTTGTTTCAGCGACATCATGATGCTCAAAATTATTTTCTTCACTTTGGCAATTACAACATCCTTAGCATCTGCAGGTACGTCAAAATCAATAGTAAAATTTTTCTTTCGTTTTACTGTAAACACACTTTTTCGAGAATAATCTCACGATGTAATTTATAGATGGTAGTAAGTTATTATTATCCATATGAAAATAAAATTTAGGCACTCATATTTCTCTAAGATTTATGCTGGTGTTATTCTTTAATCTCAGGTTTTATGTTTGTTTTGGGCATCAGCGTGCAGAAATATATAAAACTCACATGAAGCTATATGGTCCAATCTATAAAACCACGTGAAAACGCTCTCAATGCTGACTGAGCATTCAGTCAACATGCATGGTAGTCTCATCCCCTTGAAGGGTGTTAAGTGCTATTGAGCGTTTTGAGAGCTTTCTTCGAACAGCTCTCAACATTTTCTTTTGCACTCAAGAATGTTGAGCTAAAGCATACGCACAGAGCGATAAAATAGCTTCGGAAGATATAGAACTTGAATTTTCACTTGTCACTTAACCGAATATGCAGCTGTCGATACGCGTTTGAAATGCGTCGTGAAATATTTTATACCATGATCATATGCATTATCATTTTAAGGCTCGACGTGTTAAGCGCGTTTGCACCAGTTTGCACACATCGCTCAACATCATTTAACAAATGCCTGACAATACTGAGCGCATGATTTTATAACTGTCAAACCATCCTTTATAAACTTTGACTTGTTCTTAATACAATAAAGATTTAAACTGTTGATGATTATTTATGGAGGTATTCGACAGAGAATGGTTTTATTTATGTCAACCACTTTTTACATTCAGGCTGGAACACAATCGCGTCCAATTTGTGTGTAAAACCCAGCAATGATCAGTACAAAGAATTTACATTCTCGGGGTCATCAACCTTCATAATTGCAGTGAGATTGAAATATGTCAGCGGGAAAATTGGTTGCCATTATACGACAAACACGAATTGGGGTTGTCATGGGTCGGGCAAAACAATCAACATGATAATCACAGGTAAAAAGATGAAACTTTTCTAATATTATATTACGTTCGTTGCTTTTAATTAAAAGATATTTTCTACAATTTATGTTATTTACTTAGTATTTCAAGATTTTCTTAAGCATGCGTGCGTTGGAAAATTTTTCTAATTTTTTACAGCATTAAGTACAGAAATTCAAAATCGATTGTTATTTGTAAAGAAACAGATCATTTGTGCCCTTTAAGGCATTAATAAGAAACGGACGTGACAAAATATCAGAGCAAGCAAACTTTGAATTATGCAACACTTTTTAATCACTGCATTTTATAGACTACACTTCGTCATAGATTCATACATGCCGTATACATCTATTGACTATCTACGAAAAGCTTGTCACGCATACGTCACAATCTTTGTCTCCGCGTAAATTCTACCGCTTTATTCAAAGTTAATTAACTAGAGAATTTCAATTTGCAGACATCTAATTAGTTATGCAGCTTTAGTATATTTTGTTATACTTTGTGCCGTAAAATTCATTTTATCAGGGATGATGAAATTTAATATTGCAGAACTGAGTTGGAAGCCGTTCTAGTGCGCTTGAATAAAACAGAATAAATTTTGCGACAGCTCAAACGGACGTGACGTATGCAGGGGCAGGATTTTCTTCAATATTGCATATAGTCCCATATCACAGACATAGGTATGGGCTTATGAAGTTGAGAGGAAACGCGCGTGACAATGGATCAGCAAAGAAAATAAAACGACTTTAATTTCTTTGTATGAGTATACGGGTTTGGACTAACTATATAGGTCCTTTATACGGAGAACTTCAACTTTACTTTTTACTTAGTTGTACCTTCTTAGCCTTGCACCTTCGAGAAATTGAAAATATCACTTGAACAAAGCAAGAAACAAACGGAATCAGCATGTTTAAAATCTTTGATTTGTTTTCAGACACGAGAAACAAACGCATTTTCCCCTCACCAACTTTTGTCACACCCGGCACTGGTAACTGGTATGAATTACCTGGATACACAGAGAACTCATCATCTCTCACATTCGATGTGCCAGGCTACAAATGGTTGTACAATGGTCAAAATTCAGAGTTTGGTACGGAGAAGATCTGGCAGGCTATACAGAAAGCGACAATCGTGGACAAACTTGTATGGATGTAGACATTTACACTTTATTTTGAGTTCTTTGTCGTGAATTTATTGGGAAAACTTAATTTAGTTTCTAGTTATGTAAACCTGGAAGGGCGTTCAAAAAATATATTCTCTTGTAATCTTATTTAATTTTGGCTAGTGTGTTTTTAAAGGAGTTTAATTTGTAGTTATTATAAGAATTCATTTTTAAGGAGACACGTGCTCCCCGAGCAATACGGTCTACAAGAGTAATCCAGACATTTTTTGAAAAACCAGTTGCAGCAATCCTAACCCTAACTTTAACCATAAATCCAACCCTTATTTTAGCCATAGCCCCAACCTTACACACTTCTGGAAGTCTGTTAATCCTTTTGCAAAATTAGCGTAAAATTGTACTGGGATGATATTAGAGACTTTAAGTTTCACTTCCGACACCGATATTAAAACCAAATGACCAGGGGCGGATCTAGGATTTTTCAAACATCAGTCATAAAACGTCGGAGGCGCTCCGCACCTGGGGGGGTCTAAGGCATTCTCCTCTGAGAAATTTTGAATTTCAAAGCCTTGAAAATGCCATTTTTAGCGTTTTAAAGCAATACAAAATGTATTTTGTGGGCATCGTTTTTGCGTATAAACAACACATTTTGCTTACCTTGTTTTCAAAAAATGAAGTGAACAATACTTGAATGTTTTGCCAAATATTTAGGCTCATTATCATGCCAAATATATGGCTCATTAGCATGTCTAGGAACGTAAAATTTATTTTACAATAATGCTATTCAAAACAGATATAGTCTTTAAAATTTCTACCAAGTTGTCAGGCATAGACCCCCTAGAGACCCCCATCAAACCTCTATGTAATGAGTTAAGTTAGAAATTTGGTACTACAAGTGACAGTTCATAGATATAGAAAAGCTCAGACTTCAAACCATGCAAGTTTATTGTAACCCTTTACCCATCTCCACATCAGTGCCAGCAAATTCACCTTATGAGAAAAAACTCAAAATTTTTTTCTGCCAAAGATTAAGCAAAAATTATTGGAGTGAAAATTTGCAGTTAAGGACAGCTTAATGCCATAAATATTTATTAGGCATTTCACTAGACTATTATCTCCTATAAGTATATGCAAGGTGTGCTATATAGCAATCACTAGTATCATTGTATTTGCAAATACAAACAGAATGTAACCAACATGTCTTTAATTATATAATTACATGAATGTTAAAATTGGTTCATGTGTCATGCTTACTGGTTATGATAAATATCTTTTCATATGATCAAAGCTCGTTTAAATGTAAATCTGAAATAATTTAGATTAGAAATTATATTGATCATCAGAAAAATTACCTAGTGATCATGAAAAATACTTTGCTGTTTTGCCAAATTTCAAGGTTTATCTGCACATACATAGAAAGACATTTTTACTTTATAGAAAATGCTTTTCATACACCAATAGCCTAGTCCTTTGGAATTTATGGCAAACAATCTGGTATGAGCCGTAGATTAACACACCTTTACATCTCTACATGAGGTGTTCAGTTAGAAAAGGGGACAATATGTGACATGGGACAACATTTCATCCATGTGAAATACTCAGGTTTAATACCATTTCAGTCAAATTGTCAAAATAAAAAGCTTCATGGATCAGAAGACTCAATATCACAGGTTATAGTAAACAGCTTCTCATGTAATCAATGTTAGTTTTCTCAAATCTTAAACAATATGTAGTATAACTGTCCAATGATTGAATGATCAATGATCATAAACTGAAAAGCCCCAAACATTTGTTTATGATAAAGTAAATAATAGTATGGCGCCTTATGGCTACAGATTTTTTGTCCATTGAAATATATTTGCAGGAATGTAGGATTTCGCTGCCATATAACGGCCACGATTTCCCAAGCACTAAAGAAATCATAGCTAAAAGTCTATCGGCAACAACAATTTTAGAACCATCAATCTGCTTACCATACGCCATATTGACATAAATCGCATCACACACTCGCATAAATTGACTTTGATATATTACATTCATGCATACACTTCACTTGTCCTTTACTTACGATTTTGGATGTAAATTTCTGCTGATAAAACTCAAAAACAATGTTGGCTTTCTTTTGAACATCAATGACTGAAATGTCGCTCGCGAGATCGTCTTTGCCAAGCATTTACAATTTATCCATAAATTTTTCACCCTCTTGAAAAAATTCCCAGTTTGGACAGCAGTATTCATGTCAATATATCAATTGGCTAGATTATAGAATACCCGTCCACTTACTACAAATCCAATTTTTAATAGATACGCGGATGCGCGGTCAGCAGTTAACGGATGCGCGGTCACAGTTAACGGATGCAGTTAACGGATGCAGATGCAGTTAACGGATGCAGTTATCCGTTTGTTATGCGGATGCAGTTAACGGATGCGCGGATGCGCGGTCAGCAGTCCATACACGGTTATGCGGTCAGTGATAATTAAATACAAGAAAATTCAACGTCACTGCGAAGTCAATTTATAGTTGATATGCGGATATGCAGTCATCAAAATCTTATATTTAATTTTAACATAGGCAGAGCCATATATACAGGCCAAGAATAGCTATTCGGGGCTTCCAATAGGCTTTACGCTTCAACACAACATCTGAATACTCATAACATATATTTTCTTTAAATTGACTTTATGTTGCTGTTTCTAATCCTTCAATTTTGTATGAAATATTTACCTTTCCTGTCCTTCAACCGTTTTCTCCATTCCTTCCACTTCCGATTGATTCCTTCCTTGTCCTTATCCAATTATCGGCAATTCTCTCACTCCTGTCTTCTACTGCCCTCTTTCTACCCCTATACCCATTGTCCTTCTACCCTATGTCCTCTATGATATTTTCGTTTCCCAAATTTGCTCTCATCAATTTGCACCCTTACACCTGGACCACCAATTTTTTCTCTGCATTCAAAATAGTTCAACTCGCAAATTTCCCTACAAAAACGTCCCAATCAACTACTGTATTTCCACTAACATCTACCTCAAATCTCATTGTTTCCTGTTTAACATTTCTACACCACCAATATGTCAACTTGAGAACTTCTTCCAACGTTAAATTACTGCCCTCAAACCAACTACCTTTCCGAATAGATAACTCAATCTTATGTCGTTTACCTCCTATTTGCTTTCTACATTCCCATTTACAACCGTCCGACCTATCATCACACTCGACCAATTTCATAACGCTATCACAACGAGGGCATAGCCGATTACTAGCGATCAACTTCCTTTCCATTAGCCAACTTATCACACAATTTCTACTGGTAAGTACGCCGTCTTTAAGCTTGTCGTATGTCCAATAAACATTTCCTTGGTTTGCTTTTCGTTGATAACTTCCTATCCATTCGCCGCATTGCGTTGCAACACTTTCGCATTGTAGCAATGATAAATCTGTTTGAATTTCTTTTGCTTTTCCTTCCTTGCCGCTACTTGAATCCCAACATTTTCTTTTCCTCAGCGCCATACATTTTGCGTATTTCATGGTATTAGTTTGCTTATTGCTGGCTATTTCCTTTGCTAGCATTTGTAGGCAACAATCATATTACAAATTATATGACGCTCCTATTACATAACTTCCTTAAATGAGTCATTATTCAACTACCTGTTAAAGTTATTCAAAGACATCGCCTCACACATTACAAAATTCCTATGATACACTAACTATCCAATGGTATCGAAAAACAACAAAATTCTTTGATAAAATTTTAAATTTGGAGAGTTTTTGAAAGCGCATTTATTATTACATTGGATATATTCTTAATTATTTTCTTTGCAAATATGTTTGTAATTGCTTTTTAGAATCAATCTTTAAAAAATATAGCTTCAACTAACTTTCTTTATATAGGTACTAGTTTTCTTATGTTATGCCTCGCTCTTTAAACTCGTCACTGCGTATCCACGTATCCGCGTATCCACTAAAAAACGTAGCTTCAACTAACTTTCTTTATATAGGTACTAGTCCTCTTATCTTATGCCTCGTTCTTTAAACTCGTCACTGCGTATCCACGTATCCGCGTATCCACTAAAAAACATAGCTTCAACTATCTTTCTTTATATAGGTAATAGTCCTCATATCTTATGCCTCGCTCTTTAAACTCGTCACTGCGTATCCACGTATCCGCGTATCCACTAAAAACGTAACTTCTTTCTTTCTATATAGGTACTAGTCCTCTTATCTTATGCCTCGTTCTTTTTAAACTCGTCACTGCGTATCCACGTATCCGCGTATCCACTAAAAAACATAGCTTCAACTATCTTTCTTTATATAGGTAATAGTCCTCTTATTTTATGCCTCGTTCTTTAAACTCGTCACTGCGTATCCACGTATCAGCGTATCCACTAAAAAACATAGCTTCAACTAACTTTCTTTATATAGGTACTAGTCCTCTTATCTTATGCCTCGTTCTTTAAACTCGTCACTGCGTATCCACGTATCCGCGTATCCACTAAAAAACATAGCTTCAACTAACTTTCTTTATATAGGTACTAGTCCTCTTATCTTATGCCTCGTTCTTTAAACTCGTCACTGCGTATCCACGTATCCACGTATCCACTAAAAAACATAGCTTCAACTATCTTTCTTTATATAGGTAATAGTCCTCATATCTTATGCCTCGTTCTTTAAACTCGTCACTGCGTATCCACGTATCCGCGTATCCACTAAAAAACATAGCTTCAACTAACTTTCTTTATATAGGTACTAGTCCTCTTATCTTATGCCTCGTTCTTTAAACTCGTCACTGCGTATCCACGTATCCGCGTATCCACTAAAAAACATAGCTTCAACTATCTTTCTTTATATAGGTAATAGTCCTCTTATTTTATGCCTCGTTCTTTAAACTCGTCACTGCGTATCCACGTATCAGCGTATCCACTAAAAAACATAGCTTCAACTAACTTTCTTTATATAGGTACTAGTCCTCTTATCTTATGCCTCGTTCTTTAAACTCGTCACTGCGTATCCACGTATCCGCGTATCTACTAAAAAACATAGCTTCAACTAACTTTCTTTATATAGGTACTAGTCCTCTTATCTTATGCCTCGTTCTTTAAACTCGTCACTGCGTATCCACGTATCCGCGTATCCACTAAATAACATAGCTTCAACTAA